CAAGAACAGGTTGTTATTGTTGTGGTACATCGTCAATGACTTCAAGGAAAAACACTGTTTCGTTTTATCCTTGACTGTATAGTGTCAATTTGGTAGTAAGTGGTTCACTTCAGTTTGACAAACAATGAAATAAAACTTGTTACCATTGTCCTTAGTGATACACTGCATCATCCTTAATGATATACTGTATAGCCCAAATGTTTAGCAATTGAAGTTATTAATCCTCATTAACAATATTACCAAATCCAGTATTCCAGGTCCAAAATTAACACACCAACAGTGTAACTAGAATGGGCCGTTCTGGTTTCAGAATGGGCTGTTCTGGTTCCAAGTGTATTTAAGCATTTTTGGATCCACCTACGAGACATCTACATGGCATCCACTTGGCATCCACGTGGCCACCAGTTAACTCTGTTTAAATCATTTAGACAGAAGTCCCAAATTGGAACGATTTAAATTATTGAGGACCAAATTGAGACCTAAAATTAAAATAAGACTAAATTAAAACAAAAAATATTGTAAGGAACCAAAAGAGGTATTTAACCAAAATGGAATGAAACTATAAAATAAAAAAGTAAACAACTTTTATTGTTTACGATATGGATATCTTTTGATTCACATATATTGATTTTTTTGAGGTATAAAAATCAAAGAAAGTGATAATTGTTTGTCAATATCTCCCGACAAAATATTTATCATACACATCAATAATTAAATTCTTAAAACTAAACATGTGTAAAGCTAAAAAATAAATTAACTCATTATAATTTGTATTTTTTTTATAATATTTTTCAATAACTTTAAATAATAGTATTTGCAATGGAGTCAAGATAAGAACTATCAGGACAGATCACTCTAGTGAGATGAAAACTTATAAATAATCTTTCTTGTTGTTGTAATATTTTTTATTGTTAAAATATGTGTCAAGACTTAATTACATGCAAAAGTTGAAAATGATACAGCAACAAAGATCATTATTCATTGAATAAATTACTTATTTACTAATAAAATATTTTAAAAAAGAAAGCTTGAATGTTCAAATTACAAATATAACTATTATAAAAAAATTGTTTTAATAAATTAAATATCATACCATATTATAAAAAATCAAATCTTGACATAATAGTTAAACATTTTATACTCACAGGTTACAGGAATTATTTAGTGAAAAATTTTGTATTCAATTTTTATTATGTGCAAAATATTATCAGGTTAGTGACAATCATAATACTATGAGCTAAATTAAGCTATAGTCTAGTGGGCTAATAAATATCCGTATAATTAAAGATGACAAAAAAATTCGCACATGCAAATATCTTTATGTGTCCGCAATATATTTTTAATCATTTTTCAAATAAATATCCATACATAAGCACATATTTTTTTTACCCTTATATATACTAAATGGGTTGGAGTAGGTTTCATGCCACTCACATGCACATAACAATAAATTGTGAAATTATGTAAATGTTCCTATGCCAGATGTTCTAAATCCCAAAATAAGTTATTCCAAGGAAGATGTTGGAAGAACTATTTGATGATGTTAATTTTTTTTTTTTTTTACATATATAATTTCAATTTAACAAGATCAACCATTAGTGGTTTTAATTTGAATACTTTTTATATTAAGGATCAAGTGGTCAAAGTGAGGTTATTGAAGAGAGAAAAAATTGATAATCTTTTTTCTTCTTATTTTTCCTTATTTTTCTTTGAACTTGTGTTTTAAAGAGATCCATTTATATTTAACTTTATGTTATTAGACTTATGCTTTAAATAAAATAATTTGTATTAAAATTTATACTTTGGATTTATGTTTTATTGTTGTTTGTCATCCAAAATAATAACAAATTAATTTTTTCCCCCTTGAATATACATGGATATCGACGAGTTTGTAACAAACTCGCATGTAATTATCAAAGCGGGTAATCACAAGTTCGCATGATGGGCGATGATGATAGTGGGACACCTTCACTAATACTCAAGCCCAGCATGTATGAATGATTATGTTAGATTAGACTTATGTGCTTTTAGTTCATTTCAATGCATTTCCTTTACTTTCAATATTTAGTTTTTTGTCTTAAGGCCTATAAGATGTCTATTGCAGAAATTGACTATATATACCTATTGAATCTAATGACTTTGGATATGATGAATGTTAACCTGTCGTTTCTTTCTTATATTACAATTTGGTAGCCCTAGTTAGGATAGTTTTGTGTCTATAATCAAACTTTTGCATAATAGTTACCCACTTTACACTTACACATTATATGGACTATCTATTTAGTAGAGAATGCGATATTCAACTCCCACTATATGCAACAACTCGTTAAGTCAACAGCAAACACAATACTATAAGGGAGATTATTAACATCTAATCTGATGGATTAATGAATGCTCATGACAAGATTAAATATTATAAAAATCAAAATCAATATAATTAAGATTTCTTTAGTATCTAAAACCTAAAAGTATAATAATGCAAAAATATTCATTATTTTTTGTTTATTATTATTATTATTATTATTATTATTATTTAATATAATAATTTATTATCATTATAATTAAACATTATGTTGTGTTCTTATGAATTTAAAAAATGAAAAAATTGACAAAATTTAGGTAAATAAATAATGATTATGATAATGCTACATGATATTTATTTATTTGTGATAAAATTTTCTTTTATAATAATAATAAATAAATAAATAATAAAAACATCAATAACTTTCTTAAAGCAAGAAAAAACATAAAGTTAAAAAATAAAAACTAGTTTTTAAATTTTAAAAAAGTTAAAAATAAAAACCATTAGAACTAGTAGGTGTAATTAAAACATCCAAGGCCGCTCGAAATTGACGCAATTCGCATACAAAACGGACTAATTTGAGTTTAAATTTCTTTATTCGTCGATATCCGAATCCAACATGAAACTTGATCGCTAAAAGTCCTGGATATAAAAGGGATTTTACCTATTTGATTCATAACTTAGTGTCGTTTAAACCTTTCTATCTTGAAACTCTAGCGGCTAACGTTATGATAACGAAGATTAGGATATCATATGCTTGTCTCATTCTTCTTTATAAACCTAACTTGTTTCCTTCTTCTCCATAAACCTGGCACAATGGGAGATTAGGTTCCTAAATCGCCAAACCCAAAATTGCATCTCCTTCCATTCGCAAACAGCCAAATCCAAAATCACATTTTCCTTCCATTTTTGCCCGAGTTCAAAGTTGAAGGTCACAATTATTTAGGTCGAGATGAAAGTTAAAGATAGAAGTCAGAATGCTTTTTCAGATTTGGGTCGAGGTGAGGGTCAGGAATGGAGGTTAAAATGCTTTGTAACAACACAAATAGTTGTAACCTAACCCAATTGAACTCATCCATATAACCTGAAAAATGATCAATTTGAATCCGAAAAATTTGAATTATTATATCGGTTGAAAATGGACCTATTATTGTTTTGATTGGTTTAGATAGAAAAGAATATTTTTAACCTTCGTGATCACGCTAAACAACTGGGGTCCAAAGTTTTTCGAAAAAAATTAAAAATTAAAAATCTTTTTTATTGTGGCAAATTTGCAGCAAAATTATTAATTCTAGAACTTTCTTCATTATCTGTGTTCTTGATTTGACGTTTATTGTGGGCATGGCCACCTTCGAGATGCCAAAAGATACTTCTATTCTATTCTTTTATTCTTCGTCCGACATCGATTCTGTACGTACGATTGAACACATCCTACCACAAGTACAATGTGACTAAGACATTCTTGATTCTTGAGCTCCTCCTGGTGGACCCATTTAGTACTCTAGTAGTTACTAGTCTAATCACTTGCCCTTATCCCTATTTCTATTCATTGTATTTTTATTTACTTATTCGCGAATATATGAGAATTTTAATGTAGCTACCAATCTTGCAAAATTCTAAATGGATGCTTTTGGTAAAAACAAAATCTAGTAACCATCTCGTTTTTACTTTTTATAAAGAATAAAAGAATAGTTGAGTAAACTCAAGTTTGGTAACAAAAAAAGAAAACGAAAAATAAAACTTTAAAAAGCTTTTCATTGAAAAAAGTTTCTTTACCTATTTAAAAATAACATGTTAAGAACATTTTTCAAGATACGTTTTTTAAACTAAAAGTAGATGATTAAGAAATATTCGAGTATACCTTATTTAATATCAAGAAATATTTCAATGTCATTTTTTAATTTAACAAAATATTTGAAGTTTTATTTTAATTCATTCCCTAAATGCATATATTAATTAATTACCATAATGGTTTGTACATCAAATAGATATAAAGATTAAGGTATTCGTTTTTTTGTTTTTATTTTTTATTTTTTATAATTTCTATCTGAGTCAAGCGCATTTTTAAAAGACATTTAGAAGTTAAGTGATTTAATTGTTATAAAATACAAGAAAAAACATTTTTTTTTTAAAAAAAAAGTGAACGTGTTTTACTCTTTTCCTTTGCTTCCTCTTCTCACTCTCTCATGTCTCTGTCTTTTTTATCTTTTTTTTTTTATACTCTATCTTAGTTCATCTCTTTAAATTAAAAGAAATAAAAATAACCAAACTATTGCTTTATTTGTAAATTTATTGTATTAAACTTCAACTTTAAAATATTTTTTAAAAGAAAATATAAAAAATAGAAACCATTAATTTAACAAAACATAACGGCTGAAAGCTTTTTCTATTAATGTTCATTTAATAATGAGATTAAGAAAATAGAAAAATTAAATACACATTGAATTATTTTAACGCGTCTAATAAATGTGCATGGTAAAATCTTTAATTGAACTCATTTAATATATTATAAAATTAATCTTTTAATACTCTAATTTCTCTTTCATTTCCATTTCGATCCTTTACACTTAATTATAAAATTGATTTTTTCAATGACGGTAAATTTGACAGAAAAATCAATAACTTAAAAAATGAGTAAAATTGAATGAGAGTGAAATTTTTTTAACATTTTAGATGATTTTTTTTTACTTTTGTCTTTTTCTTAGGATAAACAAAACACCCGTTGGTTAATTATGATCACAACTGTGATTATGACGCTATTTAAGTGAGGTAATTCACGCTAAACACCATCCCTCGAAACATGGTTTCAGTGTCCATCTTCAGTTTCTTGTCCCTCTGAACTGAAATCACCAATCCCAAGATTATTATTATTTTTATTATTCTTATTGCTCTATTTATTTTCGCTGATGGATCCGAATTTCACCGGAGCTCCGTCGGATACGGCGGAGTTTGAATCGGAGAGCTTGCTCGACATCAGCTCCTTGGACATCGCCGACTGCTTCGACGATCTGCTCAAATTCGACTTGGAATCTTTTGATTTCAACATGCTTGAGTCGCTGCCGCCGCCGCCAAGCGCCGCCGTGGTGGGCGTGGATTCGGTGTCGTCGGAGCATTCGGTGGGGCCCACTGCGGGAGTGGACCGTGGGAAGTCGGTGGTGAGCGAGGAGATGGGCGGCGGCGGAGGGAAGAAGGCGGAGCGGCGGCGGCGGAACAAGATTCCCGTGGGCGCGTCCTCGAGGGCGTCGTTTAAGGGAGAGACGGTTTCTTTGGTGAAGAAGGCCCTCGCCCCTGAGCAGCTTGCTGAACTTGCTATCGTTGATCCTAAGAGGGTTAAGAGGTCTACATTTTTTCATTTTATTTCTTTTTTAATCAATTATTTTCAAAACCATTAAAAAATTAAATTATATTTTTATAAATCTTTTGCATAAAATTGTTTAGTAATATAATCAAATATTTTTTTAGCAAAAACAATTTTTAAGTAATATTTTGCGAATTAAAAATAGAAATATTCTCTAATACTTTTTTTTTTGGGCAGATCTAATACTATTTTTATAACATATATTTTTTCTATTATTGATTGAAGTTTATTGAAAATCATAAATCATAAATTTTATTAATAAGTGAAATCAAATGAAGAACAAAACTCACTTAAAATTATAATTTTTAATGAATTTCGGTTAACAATAAAAAATAATTATTCTATACATATAACAACTTAGTCTTCATTGATTATTGTAAATAAATAATTAAGAAAAAATATATGATTATATATTATTATAATGGATCTGATTTTAGTGAAGAGTTTTTTTTTTTTTTTTACAGCAAAGAATTATTTTCTTTTAGAAAAATAGCATAGGATTCATACTCGTGTTCATCAACTTCTAGAGAGATAAAAGAAAAAAGGAAGTGATAAATTTAACACAAAATATGAGACAAAAAAGAAATATAAAGAGATATTACATATTAGAGTCATGTAGCGTTGTTCATTTTTCTGTTTTCCTTTTTGAAAGAAAAGTGAGATCAATTACAATTTTTTTTAAAACTCTTAAAAATAAAAAGTAATAATAAACAAAAGAGTTTTCTTTTTCAAAAGAAAAGAAAGTACAAGAGTTACGGTACTACTTTTTGAATCAGTCTCAATCAGTCTTTTTGCTCACGTGTGCATATGCATGGCCAAAAAAAAATAATCGTTGTCTGCATGGCGTAACACGTGTTTGAGATTGATGATATTAGTTCAATTGTTGTTTCGTAGGATTCTTGCCAATAGGCAATCTGCTGCTAAATCCAAGGAGAGGAAAATGCGTCATATGCGTGAGTTACAAAAGAAGGTACAGTTGCTTAAAATTCAAACAACCGAGAAGGCTACAACTGTTACCATGCTTCAGGTATATGTTTTCCTTTTCAATTTGTCAAGTGGCAATTTGAGTGTTAACGAGTATTTTAATTTCTCTATAAATATCATCTGACTAGTCTTCATAGTTAATAAGTACCATCTGACTTCATGCTTCAAAACTTCAGCAAATAGGTTTCTGTGTTTGTGTTTGGATGAATTGAATGAACTATCTGGTTTTGGTTATTTTCAATATTTCAAACGCGAATACGTGCATGTACATATGTCTCTCTTTGCATGTTTGGTAATCATAAACTTCATTCATACCAAATTTCCTCCTGATTGTATTTTGTGATGATTTGTTATTCATTAATTACTCCTGGTTGCTATATTCGAAACAAATCATAAACTTTCTTTTGATTAATGTAAGCTTTAAAATGACACATCACATTTAAGTCACGATTGATTAACCACCTTGTGCCTTGAATCCTTTTAATCATATATTTGTATCTTTAATTGATTGAAGTGGTTGGAATTGAAAAGCTTCATTTCCAAAGTATATGCCATGCCCATGGATCCATAAGAAACATGATAAAATTAAAAAAAGAATTGGGTGGGGAAAATTTGTTCCTAGAAACTTATGTGTGGTATCCAGAAATATAAATTGGGATTAAATTTTTATGGAGAAAGATTGGAAGATGGATAATTTCCATATGTAGTCTGGATAACGTTCATTGGTTCAATAACTTGTAAACCTAAAATAAAAGAACTGTAACTTGGGTGAGGAATTTAAATGTGATAAATGTATTGCTTCCTTTAAATGTGATAAATGTAATGCTTCCTTGAGATATATAAAGATAAGAAGGAAAAAAATTCTACTTCTCAGATTTAATTTATATGTAAATAATAAATAAATAAATAAAAACCGCTAACCTCTGCGATTTGGTGTCTAGTCTAAACCTCGTTTCACTTGGAGTCATGCAACAAACAGTACATTTATGCATGATACAATCAAATTTCCATGCTGTATCCTATGTTATTAAACATCTTCCCTACTTTCAATATGATCAAAAATGATTTTTGTTCTTCACAGTTAAGTTGCTTTTGTTAATAACTTCATCTGATAACATTTCTTTAACTCCAGCTTGTAAAATTATTGGTTAAGGTTTAGGACCAATCACGAAGTTTCCAAAAATATAATTAAATTTATTACCATCATTTTGAATGTTATTTTTACCTATAACTTATCTTTGAACGACACTTGCATACATGGCTATAACACGATTTTCTTATAAGTTAACTGCAGTATCTTGCTGTTAGGGTACTTAATTAAGTTCATCTGTCTTTGTGTAATTGTGTTACCTCAGAAGAGTTATTAGTGTGTTTGTGGTCTTTGAATCGGATACAGCAAAAGTAATAATTTTTTTTTATTCCATTCATATTCATGGCCTCTTTAATTTAAATCTATCATGGTTTTACAAGAATCCATTTGTGACTCTAAATTAATTAATGCATGCATTCATGATTTTTGCTTTGAATGAAATTGAATATTGCTGAGTAGTAGTATTTAGTTTGAAGATCCCCAATTAGTCATTGACTTTCTGTTTGATAATTATGAGAGTGTCATTTTTTTTTCACAAATTTTTGTATTCAAAAAAAGTTGTCTTGTATCAGTAACATAGCATGATGATTTTTTTAAAAGAAAATTTTATTGCTTTCACCAATTTAAAAACAAACACTAAATGTGACTATAGTTAATACTGCCATGTTTTAAGTTGGTTTAAATTCTTGTCTCAATTTAGGAAATGGGGTATTTATTTTTGTTTTACAGCAGAGATATGCGGTTCAACTTTTCTACGATATATGGCAAAGTGCGATTTGTCTAGAGTTTGGAACAATTTCTCTTAATATTGATACTAGGACCATATATAGTGTGCTATTATGGAGTAATTTGCTGCCTTTGGTTGTAAATTAAAAGTCTGTTTTGATAAACCTTTTTTATAAGCATTTACATAACAAGAAAATTAAAAATAATAAATTTACCCATAAATTAAAATAAATTCATGTATAAGTTAAAAACCAACTTTTTGACAAGGTAATATGAGATAATTTCCACAAATTAAATTATATATAAATTGATTTTAGTTTTTAAAAATATTTATTTATTTATTCTCAATTTCATCTCTTACAATTTACAAGTACTTAGACAGAATGTTTATCTACTTAGCTTCTTTGTGTTGCTTGACTAGCTAATGACTATTTTAGATTTGTCTTTATTGGCACTGATGATAGATATAACTGGGATGCTTTACTCAATTAATGTGTAATTTAATTAATAGTGATTTTGAAAGATAGAAGTGAATAAATTACAGCTTTCTCTATTTGTGAGCGAGATTACAAATCCAAAACTCCCGGGGCCAGGGTGCTTTTGTTTTTTCTTTTGGTAAAGATAAGAAAGATTACAAAGATGGTCGCAATGAGGATTGAACTTAAATCCTCATGCTTCTAATTACCCCAACCTCTCTCCACCCAACCACTAGATTAACTCTAGTGGTTTAGGGTGCTTTTGTATGTGACTTAAAAAGGAAGAAATAGTTATGTTGATTTTGGATGATTTGTTATATTCAATTTACGAACTCATATGATCAGAAAAAGGAGCAAACGCATTAATATCTCATATATATGATGCAGCAAGAGAGTGCAGAAACCGCTGTTCGGTTGAGGGAGCTCACAATAACCAGAGATGCTATGCAACAAGAATTACAGATTAGAAAGGGTACGCATATAGTTCCATATTAATTTATTAACGCCTAAAGTAGTGGACCTGAGCTTTCCCTCGTATCACATTAAATTTGAATATACAAAAGGTTTTATCATTACGCTACTTGTTGCATGAGTGTACAATATCATATTCACGAACATATCTGAATATATCAATTACCATTTTTGTGCTTGTAGCTCTGAGCGAGGCGATTGAGGAAGAAGTTCAAAGCCTAAGGAAAGAAGATGATCATCTAGATGTTATATTGCGTGCTCGTTCTCTTACTGAGTTGCTCTCTTCCCAGATGCCTCCGCAGCAGTTTCACTATTCTCCATATGATCAACAAATACAGCTTCCAATGCCTGAAGCTAATCCTTTTCTTCCCTCTAGCCAGGGTTCCAGTGAGAGTTATGACCCTAACTTCTCAGACTTCAATCCCCCGAACTAGCTAGCTCATTATAGCAGCAGTAAACGATCGGTTACAGGTGAGAATAATCATCATATCAAAACTATCATCTCGAGTATATGTTGGTATTGGGAGACTTGTGGATAGATATCATTGTGAACTTTTAGTGACCTTGGTTTCTTTGTTGTTATTTGTGTTTGACTGTTTTAGGCTAGATATAGCCTATTTGCGAGTTTTCTAAATTTTTATGTTAAAGCCAGAGTTTGAACTTTATTTTCTACTTTCTGGGGTGGAAACTGTGGAACATGAACTTGTTGATGATAAGTCGTGAATGGAAGTGTTCGTTAAGTATTTTCGGACTTTACTTGATCAAATTAACTTAATTTGGTCGATTATGTGATGAAAGAAAGGAAAGGAAAAGGCATTTTCACTGTATGCCCTATGTTTGTGATCATGTGTCCCCTCGTTTGAGCGAAAGCCTCTCGTGGTTATTATCTTTATAACCTTTTACTAGCATGGGTTTATAGGAAAATTTGATGAGAATAAAATGTTAATCGGTAAAATAGTACTTATAAAATGCATAAATTGATTCAAATAAATGTTTTTTTTCTACATTACAAAATATTAATTAGTCTTAGGCTAGCTAATTGTAAACAATATCTGGTTATTATCGTTGAATCTTGTTCTCAATCTGGGAGTAGCACCCTAATTAATTTGGTTAGGCTTATTGCTAACATAATCTAGAGTGTTTGCAATTAGCATTTCATTCAATTAGTTCTTTATCCATCAAATGTAATTCGATCAAGGAGGGTGGTGTCAACCCTTAAAGAGGTCTTAAAATATTGGATTAAAGATTTCATTTCCTATTAATTACTACCTTTGTTTGCATTAAGCTAGCGCTTCCAAAATTTTGACAAAATGGTTGGGATTTTGTGAGGGTGGCACAATCTCACACACAAATCTAAAAGAAAAATACCATAACCTATTAGAACCCAAGAAATGATTAACAATCACATTAATGATACCGGACTTCGTCTCTTAGATTTTGATTTCTAAGTATATAAAATCCTTTAGCATAAACTAGGTTCAACTTTGATATCCGTGTTTATGGCGTTCCTAATCGTTTGCTTCCTAAACATTTGGTCAAGTCCATTAAACTTGCATCCAAATATATGTTATTGTATGAGTGACTAATTAGTGTTTATTTTTGTATATGGTGCATTTCCATCCTTCATGTTGTAGTTTAATCCTTTACAACATTTCTCCCTCATACGTATATATGGTATATAAATCTTGTTCTCCAGTACATAGTTGTACATATTTTCTCCAGTACTTATTAAGAATATTCGAGATAAAAATATCACATATATAATATGAAATAAATTTCTTGAAGATTCACATCCTGAAAACAGTTTCTAAATTAATTAAACCTAAACCAAGGTTAGTAAAATAGGTTATAGTTTGCTTTAAGTTAACAGATATGTTTCCTATTAAGAAGAGGCTACTATAGTTGGAAGGGTCAAGAGATGAGATTACGGACATTAATTGCGTACTAATCTTATATAAGATAGTTGCATATGATAACTATACTGTGAGTCGACTATTTTACTCTATATTACTCAATGAACTAAGGTTTCCAGCATTTCAATATTAACATGTTGCATCAGTTCACAAATGTGCAATATTTCCATACATACTAGATGCCAAATTTCACCTATATATAGAGGCAAAGTTGTCATCTAATGGCCTATTTATAATCCCTATTAAATAGCCGAATAACTATAATAGCTAAACTCATCAACAATTACTATTAATTAATATAAGTAATAATGATTTGTATCTTTTGATTAAGATGTCCAGGGTTCAAATTCTAGTACATTTAATATGATCAAAATATACTGTATATATATATACTGTATTGAAAGGAGAATATCTTCTTTATATATATTCATTGTCTTCAACAAAGATTAGTTACTATTTTTTATGGTAAATATTTCATACCAATACCATGATTACCAAAAAAAAGATTTCATTAACAACTATACTACTAATTTTTATCAATGTCTAATAATAAATACTTCGTACTAATATCATAGTTATAAAAAAAAAAACTTTATCAACAATTGTATTACTATACACTACTATAGAGAGAACATTTTACATTAGTTCTTTTAAACTTTTTATATCAATTTTGAAATCGATATAGATGAAGACAATATTAAAAGTGTAAAACATTTTACATTACTTTCAAAATTGATGCAAAAAAACTCATTTTTTAAATTAGCTCTCTTAATAATCAATGTAAAATCTATTATAATCTACATTAGTTCTTTGATAACCGATGTAAAATGAGTCTTATATAAGAAACAAATAGTACTCCAAATATTTCAACAATCACAATATGGTTAAAAAAAAAAAAGTTCAATACATGCTCCAACTGTTCCAGAAATCACAACCCCTCTAAGATTGAAACAAAAGATTCCATAATGAAACAACAACGTAGCAACATCTAATTCAGTATATTTGAAAAATAAAATTAAAATAATCCAACAGATGTTAAATCATATTCAAGAAGACTCCATAAAGGATGTCATTTATTTGATTTTCTACGAGCAATGCCCCTCTCAGCTAGGAGTGGGCAAAAAAAACTAAATTGAACTGAACTGAACTGAACTGGTGGTGAACTGTACCATAAAAAATTGAACTGTTTGTAAAAAAACTGAACTGAACTGTTTAAAAAAAAAAACTGAACCTGAACTGTTGTAAAGTTGAACTGTATGAACTATAAAAACTGAACTAAATTATAAAAATTGAACTATTTTTATAAAAGAATAAAAATTAAATGTGTTTAACATGTTATGTCTTAATGAATTAGCTCGATAGTCTAATAACCAAAACTTTAGAAAAAAAGTGATCTGAAAAAAAATTGTATCAATTTTGTCGAACTTAACGGATTAATTGAGTTATGTTGAACTACTTATTTTTAGGCTTAAAATTCATTGAGTTTGTTTGACTTAATTTTATATTTTTTTACTTTGAAAAAATTAAATAAAATGGAAAATAAAGTAAAGTTGGCAAATGTGTCTTATTTTGATAGATCAATGAGTCAAAATTGTTCAATTCAAAATATCATAACAGTTTAGTGCAATTTAAATTGTAGTTCAGTTCAAGTTTTTATAGTATAGTTCAGTTCAGTTCAATGACACAAAAGAATAGTTCAATTCAGTTCGTCTGAACTAATATTTAGTTTAGTTCAGTTCATATGAACTACTTTTAAGTTCAGTATAGTTTTTATAAATTGAGTTCAGTTCAGTTCGTTTTGCCCACCCCTACTCTCAGCTATCAAATCCATTTCTTCTGTTCTAATCTGAAAAAAGTAAGACACTATTTAGAAAATTTTATGATGAACTTCATTTCGATCAGTTCTGGCTCTACCGTCGATATACAATTAATTAGTGAAAATGGAACACGCAATAGTAAACTTCTAAAAAAGCAAAAATAAAAAATAGCTGGACTTCTGGCCTAAGCATACTCTCATAAGAAAATGGAATCATAGTGATGTGAAGACTCTGGTAGCCATTTGGTTTAGGGATTGCAATATAATCGTTCACCTAAAAGTAGACAAATAATTAAATATTTCTCGCTAGTGATCAATGAAAATTTATTTCTCTTGAAACTAACACTTTTTACTCAAATAGAATAAAAAATAACATACTAACAGATCTAGGAATAGGGGTCAGATTCCATGATCAACCCAAATGTAGATGTAGAAGTACTAATTGCACTAATGTCTATTATTGATGGTAAATATTTTATATCAATATCATAATTATTAAAAAAATTTATCAATAATTATATTATTATTTGTACTAATGTTTGTTTCATATAGTTGATTTGATAATCGTTAACTTTTGTGTTTTTTTTTAATAATCAATTCTTATATATTAAATAAAAATCATGTGAGGTGTTTTTCTTGGATGAGAGAATTTTTAAATATTTTTTAACTTTCTCCGGGGCACGTTCAATGGCGACCAGAGTACTCCGAGTAGGGTACTACTGGCCCACATTAAAATTGGATTGCCAGGACTACGTACAAAAATGCAAAGAATGTCAGCAGTTCAGCAACTCACATTCCTACAAGTTTTAGAAACCATGGATGGTTAGCTACACCTTACCATGGTTCTTAGTGAACCATGGTTAAGGTTAGCTTCTCCTAGAAGCTACCTCTCCCTATATATTTGTAATTCTTTCACTTGTACTCACTTTTGGACATTTATGAGAATTAGAAATCAGATTTCTCTCTCATTTTTCAAGAGTCAAAACCGTGAGAACTTTCTTCTAGTTCTCTCTCAAGTTCCTTCTCCTAGAAGCTTGGTTCCTCAAGCTTGTTCACCTCTCTAAGAGGTAACCGAACCTCCTCAAAGGTGCTTCTCCTCCATTGAAGCTTCTTCAAAGGAGAATTCCAAGGTCAAAACGTGATAACCTCATGGAGCATTTTCGGTCCTTGCATGGAAGCTTGGATGAACAAAAATCTTCACCAAGTGCTTCCATCACAGCCTAACCTACCAAGGTTTAGAAGCTTGGAAGGCAAGCTTCAAAGCTTGAAGGTGAAGCTTCACAATTTTGGCCAAGAACAAAGAAATGAGCTAGGTGGCCAAGTCCCAAAATGCTCACTTGATTTATTTCAAAAATATTTGATTTGGTTTAGTTAGGTTCATCATATGATGATGAGACCTAGATAAATCAAATCTATGAAAATTTAGGAGTAAAATGAGTCTAATATGCAAAATTTTGCCTAGGCCTAGTTCTGGCCCAATTGCTAGTCACACCCTCAAGCATTGCTAAATGCCACCCCTTTTTCCCTACTGAAAAAATATAAAGTGAATGTATCAACAAAGGAGGTTAAATGGAGTCTAAGTTCCCAAGTAACCTACCCTAGAAATATTATACAATGACTAATAAAATGCAATAAAGTGCCTCACAAATACAAAGGCAAAAATAAGTCTATACAAAGAGAATACTATATGTACAAACATATGAAAAGGTCTTTAAGATCATCTAATTCCTCTTGGTTCTTTTAAGATATCACCTCTTGGATTCCTTGGCCTTGGCCATAGTCTATCACATGTCAAGGGCAAAACTTTTATATAAACAGGTGCTTTTATTCTCCAAAATGTCAGCAATGAACTAAAAATTGTTCATAATACTTCACCACAGATCAATGCACAAGTTAATATTTATCCAAATGCATCTGCATTAACACTAGCAATCTTTTACCAAATAAACATAATCAAACCATCAACACACATGTCAAGGAAAAAACTTTCATACAAACATGTGCTTTTATTTTCCAAAAAGTCTATAATGAACTAGAAATTGTCCATAATACTTCA